TGAGCTGTGTTTCTGTTGATCGTTTCGCTCTAAAGCCATGTTGACAATCAGTGAGCACTCTATATCGTCAAAGATACTTCATAACATGGCTATGTACAATATACTCAAGTACCTTTGATGCAATGCAGGTAAGTGACACGGGCCTATAATTTGAAGGATCCGATTTCTTTCCTTTCTTGTGAATAGCGCATACGTTGGCGTGTTTCCATTAAATAGGCACAGTTCCGGTATGAATACAATCTTGATATATGTCAGTAAGGACCTTTGATATTTCATAGGCATTTTCCTTTAATAACCAGGGTGGAATTTCATCCGGGCCATACGCTTTATCTACCTTCAACTCGCTAAGTTGCTTTTCAACTCCACGGGTTGTTATTTTTATTGTTCTAATAGTCGAGATAGGGCTTTCGCCAAGGTCTGGGATATTCTCTGATTCTTCGTTGTTGAAAACACTGGAGAACTGGCTATTTAGCACTTCGGCCTTAGCTCTCGGTTCGGTAAACACTTCATTTCTAACTTTGAGGTCCTGGGTATCTGTACCCTCTTATCCTAGTTTTTTGATGTGTGACCAAAAAGCCTTCGGGTTTTGTTTTCTGTAATCACCGAGAAAGTCAGAAAGCTTACAAAGAATAGACGAACCGTAAGTATATTTCACTGTAAGTTTTTTTGTGCGGACCGAGCGCAGCGAGGTCCGTACTGTCAAGACCTCGGGCCGATATTCTCCAAGTACGGCCCTCGCGCTTGGTTAATAAGATATATACATTGATAAATAATTAAAAAAATAAATCTATATATGCATATCTATATCTGTTTAATTATTTATAAAAAATTGAAAATAATACAACAAAAAAAGTAAATAAATGGTCATACTTAGTTGCATGACAATTTAATATTATTGAATAAGATCTCATGAAAAGTATTTTGAAACAAACAGCGGTACAGTACGAACAGTGGGAAAAGGAATATTTTTAGTTTGATATGAGTTGCTGACACCTAAATGGGTTCAAAAAACAATTAATGGCTTCGCTCCGACGAAGGGGTCTGAAGTTTTGAGGTCTGAAGTTTCGATACACTCAGTTGGTCAGATCGTCGGTGTCCTAAAACCGAGGTCAACCTCGTCCTAAGTCATGAGAAATTTGAACTGAAAACGGAAAATTCTAACATGCTTGGAAACAAAATCCATATGCCGTTACTTCAGTCCAAAAAACCTATATAACCTGTCGTGAGTTACGCGAGAACAGGCCGCTTAGCTTGATCGGACTGTAAAGATGTATATCGACACGCGATTAAAAAAAAAAGAAATTCGCTCTTCAAAAACTTAAAAAACCGTCCTGTCTAAACGTTGCATAGCTCGGCCAAGAAAACAAAAAACAGCATAAGACTAATTGATAAGTTTTTGAAAATTATCGTTCAACTTTATTTATTTTTTCGGAAGCAAACAGTTGAAGTATCAACAAATAGGAGGACGTTTTCATTTTGTTTTTACAATCAGTACAATTTAACGAGCTTGCTTGGTTTCCGTGTCTAAAAAAGATATTTCACCAGACTCAGAGGCTGAAAACTAAAGAAACGATATGTTTCTATGTTCTACCCGAAACAAAAGAAAGTTTAGATAAAGATTAAAGTATAAAAATACTCACGTTTTCCTCACAACCTCAGTCGCCTTGTTTTCACGTCGTTAACGTCAAGAGGACGGCAGTCACAAACCGGAAATGCGTCAAACTGCTCACGAATCAGGTTGTCACGCGCGTCACATGATAATCTTTTGCCGTCCTCTCCCTTCTGCGTCCTGTTGCGTAAGGTCTCTAATTCCAGTTCGGACAGCATTCTTTCCAGTTTACAACTTGAAGACGAACTCAGTGAACTTGAAATCGCTAACAAAATTAACTCCGCCTTCCTTGCTCCCATGGAAATCTCCCAGCTATTAGAGGCAGTTGCAACTGTAGAGGACGATCCCTATGTATTCATTCTATCCGAGCCTGCGGTTCTGGCTGCCCTGAAACAACTAAATCCATGCAAATCGGGAATGGCTAGACAGTCTAGGCCTGCTAACTTTGTATGATAGACGCATAGAACTCTGCTGTCATTTGTTCGATTCCATTGCTAACAATCCCGAGCATAAGTTGTACCATCTTCTGCTATGAAAGAAAAAATCTAGTTATAATTTAAGGCGTCAAGAGATATATGATTTGCCACGTTCTCACAAGGAACGTTTTCGACGCTCTTTCTTTCCAAGTTATGCTATGTCCCAGGGTACGCACAATAGCTCCTAAAGTTTTAAAGAAAGCCGACTTTAATCTTAGATATTCATACATATTTTAGATTTATTATTTTAGGCATTCATACCTATATGATTGTATTTAGCTCTATATTTTAAATAATGTCATCTGTAAAATACGCAATTCAGTTTTACGACTGGAAAGTATTTTTTCAATAAACGATCTATCTATTTATCTTTATAGATATATGTTATTTGGAATTCAATTAGTGTTATTACTATTTTAGCTATTACAATTTTAGCTTATTGTCAAACACTTTTATCATGAGCCTCTGGCTCGGGGGAGACCACCCTCTGTAAATTTTTTTTGACACTAAATAAATTATCTTATCCAGAGTTAATAGATTAATAGAGTTAATAGAATTGATAGAGTTCCCTCTATCAACTTTGTCTTATCTTAGCTTTTGGTTGGATGTCAATCATTCTTTATATTCTTGAATCGTCTTTCTCCAGTGGAACTGAGTACGCATAAATATATGGGATACGGCAGGCTTTTATGTTTTGTATGTAATTAACACTACCCTCAAGTGTCATTATACAACCCTTTGTTTCCGTTCAATGTTTTAAAAATTTTTCTTTATCAGTAACCACATGCAGTCTCAGACTGCCCATTTTTTAAAAATGGCGGATTTGTTGGGTAGGACTTTGTGGGGATGACGGCTCGATTATGTTTCTTGGAATCACAGGATTATTGGCTTTTGGTACAATCACTGTTCATTCTAGTTACCTTCTTCACAATACATCTACACGTTTACTTCGTGAACACTTTTATTGGGTCACTAGGATTTCTTCCTTTCTGTCTCACTACTTCTTTTTCTCCACCGTCGAGTCTCGTTTTACCAGGACTTGCAACGGTTTCAGTGCGATCTCGACGAAAGTGAAGTTTATGAACCTCCACGGGTTTTGTCACCTTTACATATGCGCTGATCAATATCCACCTTTAACAACTCTCTGGCAGAATACCTTACACAAAGGAAAGTACTCGTTGAACATTGTAAATAAGAATGATAAAATAGCCGAATTGAGGAATGAGATTTCTGACCTCAAAGAGCTCACTTTTATACAAAAGAGATGAAAAATATATTTTATTGTGTGCTCTGACTCTAAAAAAGCTGGCTTTAATATCAGCGAAAGTAGAACAAACAGCTTAAGACACATAGAGCGTAGAAACACTTTAAAATTTAGGCTTGCAGCCAAAAAACCGAGAAAACGAAAATTTCTTTTAAAACCTCTCAAACTATCAACCATCTGACAGCCAAGTCAGCGTGCTATCAAAGGGTCTGAAATTCATCCCAAAACCCATGACAAACGAATGTGAAATCAGGCCAACTTTTGCGAGATTTATTCGCAAGACGAATGCGCCTCCGTTACACCTTTCACGGACAAAACAAAGAACCACTTCCGTTTCATATCAAACTGAATGCCACCTGTTCAGTCTTCTATCGCCCTTCAGAGCTACTTGGAAAATTGTCATAACACAACTTGCAGACTGTATCTAACCCAGAAAATACTTTGTAACGCAAGCTCTAAAAGAGATGAAACAAACTCTGCTTTAAACCTCACCGAAGCAGCACAATAATAGTCATCATGAACAAGACAGAAAAAACAAGAGGCCAAAGTGCAACTCAACAACAGAGTTCATTTCAAACTTCTCAAAGCACCGATAGCAAAAAATACGCAGGAAAGGGTTAATGAGTTCATTGACCAAATGCAGCGAGGCCACAAACACATTAAAGTGCTACTGAAACGTAATTTTCATATCCGAGATTTTTGCAATATAATAGAGTTTGAACGTTATTTGCAAACGCAGTGACGTCATCAATCCATTTCGCTCGGTACCAGGGCCCGGACATGGTTTTGTGTAAAATTTTTGATTTGAACGGTTAAAAAAGATATCTTTCGCTTCTTTTTGGCCAAAGCAAATTATCTCATGATGATCAGCATATTCAAAACTACAGGTTAGAGCAAATATTTCAGATACGAAAATTTCGTTTCAGTAGCACTTTAATGGCTTGAAATGGCTTTCACAAACTCCCAATATCCGCTTTGATACACAATCACCCATTGCCGAAAACAATTTTTATACATCACTCGATCATTTCTTACAAAAAAGGAAAATCCTTTACGACAAGCAAAAATACAATTCGAAGGCGATAAAGCGATGCGACCATTAAAGCCACATGGGGAGTCCGTGCCGTTCTGTATTTATCTTTATTCGCATGGCAAAAATTCATCATTTGCCGGCGCAAAACTATCCACAGAAGCTTCAGATAATTTCTGGGACAATTCATCGTCAGACAAAGTCGACATTTCACGACTGACAACGAAACAGTTCTCAAAAAAGTAACATGTATGATTCTCTTTGCAGCGAACAAAGAGAGTTGTGACAAAGTAAAGCACAAGTTTGTTGAGCCTTTGACGTCATGATGACGTTTTCTGCTGCATAATTGCGGGCTCGGCTGGAACAGGTTTTCAGCAATGGCGGACGATTTTTGGACGACTTTAAAGCGGTAAAAATTAATCATCGAAGGTTTGTTTTGAGTTTTTAATGGCAAAAAGGGTTTTAGCTTGACTCAATTCAACATTCTGTAAAAAAATTAGCCCAAAATAAGATGGTCAATTTTCGTCTCGAGGGCACGTTAAACACCGAGCCTGTAAATAAAAAAAAGATGGCTAGAAAGTTCTGATTGTAGTTAACGAGGGAAAATTGAGTAGACAAATAAACGAGGCAAAAGCTCCGACTTTATTTCAAAATTACACGGATGACAAATAATTAAAAAATAAATATATTTATGAATAAATATGGAAACAATCAGAATCTATACGCTATTCACAAGGTAAAATTGTGCACAATATTTAATAGTAGTCTAATTCTAAATTCTAAGACTTTTAAAATTTACAAACAGTGGGGTATTTCAGAAAACGCAATAGTCCGAAAAAAGGAGAGGTTATGCTTATTTCGAAGAGACACTGGGGGAAAAAGAAGTAGAGTTCCCTTGACCTTGGCTTGTACATGATGAAATAGACTGTCGAGGGAGTAACTGGTGTAATCCCCTTGGAGAACTTAACTCCAAAGCTACATAAGCATAAAAGAAAATGTATTAATCAAGGATAATCTTAATCCAGATTTAGGTCATGCATCTAAGCTGGGGCTGAGAGCATCTTTTCGTAATGAGAGAGGAGCTGCCACATTTGAAAACTAAAAAAAAGTTTCGGCAAAGGCTATCCGTACAAATCTTTATATCATTAAAACTAGATCTTCTGTATATATTATCTATATTTATCTACTCATAACATACATGTACGCTCCCAAAGAATATTCAAATGACCGTCATCGCTTTATCGAACCTTCATACATGACATCAGACCGTTTCCCTCGCTTCCAGGTCCTTTGCTTGAGTTTTTTTTAGATTTCTGTTGACTGGCAAAACATTTCCACAGCCGCAAGGTCTCGTCTGCGGCAGCCGACGCCACAAACTGACCATCTGGTGACATGGTCATGTGAAGAATGCGCGACACGTGTCCAGTCAATTCCATGACGCGTGACATGGCTGGGTATTTCCAGATAGTGAGTTGGTTTTGGGAAAAACCGTGACCGGAGACTAACTCTTTGTACTCTTTGGACCATAACAGCGCGCAAACCTACAATGTACAGAGATAAGAGTCACAGAGAAATCGAAGCAAGCTCTGATGGTGGGCAATTTCTCAAATCAAAACAATCAATCAAAAAAAAGAAAACCAGACAAGTAGAATTTGGTTGGGTGTGACTTATTTTGATATACCATTACTTTTATTTTGATATAACATTACTTTTATTTAATATACCATTCTCGATTAAATTTTTTTGGTTGCATGATTCCATTTTAAACGGCATATCATTGATCAATTTAAGACCATTACTGTTTATAAAATGATCACTTCGCTTTGCCACCTTAAGCATGTTGGCATCGTTTGCATTTTTACCGCGCTTAACCGTTACCGTTTTTCGCGCACTTTTCTTTTGTAAACTCGCGTGGTAGAGACTGAAAGCCTCGCAATGGCAATGAGGTTCCCCGGCTGCATGCCTAAGCGCCCTGCACTTGGGACTGTTTCTATAATTTCCCGCGCTTTTCATCTCGGATGAAAAGCGCGGGAAATTATAGAAAACGTCTGTGATATTAGCGTTGTTGGTTGTTAGGTTTTCATTAGGTGTTAGGTGGAATACCTGTAAACTAGCTCATAAGCTAAGCGTAATTCCACGTTAAATAAAGTATGTATGTATGTATGTATGTAAACCTTACCTATCTTTGGTACAGTTTACCACGCTAAGCACCAAATGTACTGTGCCGGTATTTCTTACTGTGCTTTCCACGACATTTGGACATTTGATAAACATTAAAAAGTGTCTCAGCTCCTGTCACTAACCGCTCTTTGTTAATACTTCCTCTATCAAGTATATATTGCATCAAAACATGCCTGACTATTTGTGTCCACGCTGCTAAGACAGGACCCTGTGTTTGCATTCCAAAATCTGATGTGACGGTCAGCTGTTCCACCACCACTAGCCAGGACATTCGGTTGCCATGGACACCATGCCACTGCCTAAAAATCAATGTATACTTAGAAAAAAAGAACTTTGGTTTTACAAGATATTTTGGTTTAATCAACTGAGATGTGATTCGCTCTGACAAAGGGCTACGACGCGTTAAAAATTCTTGTTTCAAAAGAGGTTGACAAAATTCATCAAGTTCGGGAAATTACGGCAGAACAAACACATTTTTCTGCAAGAAAACTGCTGAGGGTCATGGATTTAACAAACACAATTTAATAGCGGAATAATTTTGAAAATGATTCATTTTGAAATTTCTTACATAGTTCAGTATGAGCAGCCACACACGCATGTTTCAGTTATGCTCATACATTACCTTAACTGCAGCCTGATGATGCGTCAGTGTATGAAGAGGACTGGCAGCATCATCTGAGGTTCCACCCTGTGCCCAGATATTCAGCAGATTATCATTACCACCACTCGCCAGCAGCTTACCATCAGGACTCCACTGCATACCACACACCTCTTGACTGTGGCCCAGGAGGGAACCTACATGATGTGACGCCACACGCACATCATGATGATGGATAGCTCCATTCCGTGAACCACTAAAAATGCCAGATGAGGGGGGTATTGTTAAAACTTTTTGATCCTGAACTCTGGACGATTTAACCAACAATTTTGCTCTTTCCCCTACATTTTGGAATTTTCTTTTATCAAGCATAGCACACATGATTTCAAAACCAAAACCAATAATTGTCAGTGATGATAACCTTGAATTGGTAATTGACCTGGACACTTCAGTCACGCTTTTTTGTTTTTGCGAAGAACTTACGACACTAAGCACTTTTTATTACACGACTCGGGAAGTGAGAGGGCCAATAGCTAAAATCAACCAATCAAAATGCTCAAATTGCCGGTCAATATTCTCTCAGTATTGGACCGGGCACTGTCCCGAATGGTCCCGAATGATACCGCACTTGTATCCCTTTGAACTTCAGTCGTGTAATAAATCTCTTATTAACCAAGCTTGCTCGGGACCATACTGGAAGAATATCGGCCCTCGGGCCAATATTCTCCCAGTACAGCGCTCGCGCTTGGTTAATAAGATATATGTATCTGGTCAAATTTTTATTTCATCAACTATTTTTAACAGAGCATTGATGGATTGATTTGAAATATGAACAATGTAACAAAACAAGATTATTAACAACCATTGTAGAGTTCCATTCCATCCTTTTATGGCTTGCATTTATATGAAATACATACACATGTAGCTGGAAGAGGTAGCACCAAACTATACCTGTTACATAGTTGAAATTTAAAAACGATCTCTGGCAAAAAGGATTAAAAACTACGAGCTTTCGACTGCCGGAAATGCAGTCTTCGACGGGTAAAATGAATGATAAGCAAGCGATGAGGGAACTTAAATAAAGACGTGACCTGCGAAATAATGAGAATGTAAATGATTTTTTATGAATATTTGTTAAAAAGAATGTTGTATTGTCCAGGTAACGGGCAAGAATTGTTATCTGCGTTAGGTGTCACTCTTATGCCACGCTTCTAATGTTTTTCTGGTTCTAAAAGTGCCTTTGTCAATAATTGACGCGTTTTCAAAATCAATGGCGTGTTGTTGGACCAGGCGTGATAATAGCATCGCCTGCTTAACATTCATTTTACCCGTCGAAGACTCCAGTTCGGGCAGTCGAAAGCTTGTAGTTTTTAATCATTTTGCCAGAGATCGTCTTTAAATTTGAACTATGTTTCATCCTGGCTGCGGTCCTTCGATATTTTCGTATAACTGTTACAGCTGCACTGTACACAATCAATCAGCTCATTGATATTTGATTCTGAGTCCGCAATGTCGATAGCATCATAGTTTGTTCACGTTCGTAACAAAAGTGGAAATATAACTCAAAGTCAACTTTTGATAGAGCTATTTACCTTGATAAGATAAATGAGTTCCAGGCAAGTGACCCCACTCTAGCAGCATGGCCACCCATCACACGCACACACTTGGCTTGTACTACATCCCATAACTGAAAAAAAATATGAATTACTTTATTTATCATTATCATCATTGTTATTGCTATAATTACCATCATTTAACATTATCATTATTTATTATTATTATTATTATTATTATTATTATTATTATTATTATCATCACTTTTAAATCGATTGCTATCACCATCATGATTATAATATGATTATTAATTATCATGATCATCATTATGGTACAACAAGAATTCATTCATTAAAAACTGTCTCAAAAAACAATAAGATGAGATCTGGTTGAACACTGCCATTTAATTAAATTCGTCAATCAATGGCAGCAGTTTTCACACTTCATGCTGTAAATGGGAACCTGTTTAACCCAATAAAAAAATTCATTTAAATGAGAACAATTTCATGTTTTTACTGATCTTTAGTTTAATAACGTAGTAGTTTTTAGCTCTTTGTATTAGACTAATCAAATAAAAAAATCTATCATCACTCCTCTATAAGTAGTGCCACTCTTATCACTCAAAATTTAAAAACTACTCTGTCACCCTCCAATAATTATACATCTCATATCTTCACCTTGGTTTTTTTGGTAGACTATATTATAGCACTGAGACAACACATGATGCTAGTGGTTGTGTTCTATCACTGTCAGTTGTACATGTTAAAACCATTTCCACCATTTTTGCAATAAAAACCTTAGGATCAGCTTTAAATCATTACTTAATATATTACTTTACTTAACATTATGCTAAATATAAATGAACAATGAAACCTGGCCAGGAGTTATAAAGAGTCAAGTACCCCCAGCTATAGGGGAATCCTTGTTTACAATATTTGCCTCATTAGCATAAGCAATTCAGTTTCTGATGGAGCTAAAAATAGATCAGTTCTGAATATCGAAAGGTCAAAGTACGATTAACTCGGCCAATGAATACGAGCCTGATGCATTGAATACTTTTTGTGCAACACGGGTTTAAAAACTCAAAATTTTACATAGAATGTATGAGCTCATTAGCGCTTTTGCCACCCAGAAATTTTGCAGTTTTTGATGGACTATTTCTCCTTGAATATTACACCCAAAGAGCTAAAAATTTCACCATGTACTAAGGTTTTCTAGCTCTTTAGCTGCCTGAAGTCAATTTGTATCTAACATGCTTCCTTCTTTACGCAAAGCCGTATGCAAATGAGCAAAAATGTAAACAATGACGTCAGCATGAATCCGCCTATACACTTG